ACACCCAGTGACTTCAAAAGGTCTCTCTCTCTCTCACACACACACACACACACCCAGTATGTGCCTGGTAATTGTACTCGCTGCCAGCCTCTCCTCATGAGCCAGGATCCAGAAACTGGGAATAGAGCCCAGGAATCCTGACTCCCATCTCCCCCTCCCCCTGCTCTAACCACTAGACTTTACTCCCCTCCCAGAGCTGGGAATAGAACCCAGGAGTTCTGGCTCCCAGCCCCTCTGCTCTAACAGCTAGACCCTACTCCTCTTCCATGAAAGGTGCAGTGCTGTCACTGGGTGCTCAGGGGGGGGACATACAGTAGGGATTACCTTTGCAGTAAGGGGGTTGGGGTCTATTGAAGTCAGTGGAAAGACGTCCCCTTCCTCATTGACTTCAGTGGACTGGGAATCAGGACCCTAGTGGTAGCCCCCTATCCCCTGCACCAATTAATAGGAGACAGACAATATTATAGCACAGCACCAACCCTGCTGTAATTAAGGTTGAGATCAACTTTCGCTTTAAAGGCAGACTCTTCTAAAACCTGCAGGGTTACATGGATTGCCTTGCAGTTTGGTGGATCCTCTCTGGTGAACACTCAGGCCTTGGCTACACTTACCCACTAGTTCGGCGGCTGGCAATCGAACTTCTGGGTTCGACTTATCGCGTCTAGTCTGGACGCGATAAGTCGAACCCGGAAGTGCTCGCCGTCGACTGCGGTACTCCAGCTCGGCGAGAGGAGTACCGCGGAGTCAACGGAGGAGCCTGCCTGCTGAGTGTGGACCAAGGTAAGTTCGAACTAAGGTACTTCGACTTCAGCTACGTTATTCACGTAGCTGAAGTTGCGTACCTTAGTTCGAATTAGGGGGGTAGTGTAGACCAAGCCTCACTGTCATACCAGGTCCTCTGCCCTCAAGGGGAGCTGGTGTGATTCAACTCCTGGCATCATACCACAGCACTGAGATACATTTATAGTGACGACAGCAAGAATTTTATTATCGAAGGTGCAATGATAGCGGGAAAGGACAATGGAAACAAAACAGAGTGCATATAAAACATAACACCCTGTCTAGAGACTAGCCTTCACTTAGCAGGCTAACTTGGAAAGTGATCTCACCCCAGACGACGCAGCCTGTCACCCAAGGTTGGTTGCAATCCCATTTTCATGAATGTAACCGCACTGCCTGCTGATTTCTTAGGTGCCGGATAAAGGGGTGTCTTCCTTGTCTTCCTTTTATAGCCCCCAAGGTTTGTCATCTGTCCTTAGAGTCAGGAACACCCTCCCTTTCCCCCGTAGCTTATTCTACGGTGTGCTGCCTGCCTGTTGATTTCACATCTCCTTGGCTGAATTGACATGTAAATGGGTTGGCTTACAATGCTTCGTTTACATGCCGACCAAGAGAAATTTGCGCAGCAAAAAAACTCTTTGTCCACCCTGCCTCGATACAGACGGTCGGAACAGATTTTCAGTAGACAGATGTAACGTCTCACGTAGGAGCTGTACAGACATTTCACAACGATATTAATCACCAGCGTGATGCCAGCTGTCATTTAAGATCTCACCTGGTGTTCTTTGGTGGACCAGAATGTATGTGTCAAAATCAGGCTATTCGTGTAACCCAGTTGGCACTGGGGGTTTGTTAGGGTCACACCTGTGCTGACACAACCGTACCCAACACAGCGCTGACATGAAGGAGGCTGGTGCACCTCTTTCTTTGCTCACACACACTGGAGTCGTGGAAAGGGGCTCACAGCCCCCCCCAGATCTCCTCATTTCACAATCGCAGCTCTACCGAGCTGCTCCATCGAATCCCTCCACCGTTCAATATTCCGAATGCAGTGGGGTGCATGCAGATAATCCCCGGAGGCTCTTGCCAGCTCCAGGGGGGCAGAGTTAAGGTTGTGGGGCGTATTTATCTTAACTCTGTATTTCCTGATTTTAAGAAGCGTGAGTGCAGCTGAATTCGCCGCTGTGGAAGGGCACAAGACCACCGGGGAGACTGAACGCTGTGTTAACCAAGGGTTGTGCCAGTGAATAATCTCTCCACCTCTCTCCTAGGCTCGGCGTCCAAGTGCATCCCACGGCAGGAGGAGCCGGTGCTGGAACCACTGCCAGTTGGCATGGACCCCTACAGGCAGCCGGCGGGGATCCTGCAGCCCCAGGTCCGCCCGCAGGGGCAGGGGATTGGTAACGAGCCTGGGGCCTACGGAGGAACCGATTCTGGATCGTATGGAGGACCTGGGCCCGGATCATACGGGATAGATGGGCCCGGGGCCTACGGAGGAACCGATTCTGGATCGTATGGAGGACCTGGGCCCGGATCGTACGGGATAGATGGGCCCGGGGCCTATGCAGGAACTGGGGCCGGATCCTACGGAGGAACTGGATGTGCATCAAATGAAGCAGCCGGAACTGGGTCATCTGAACAACCTGGACCCGGATCGTATGGAATAAATGGCCCCGGAGCCTATGAAGGAGCCAGGCCGGATATCTCAGTGGGGGGCTCCCCGCCACAGTATGGGATGCCGGGTGCTGGCTATGGTGTTGGCTCCGTCAGGCCGTTCGGGCACATCCCGCCAGTCTATAAGAACCCCAGCATCCCCTTCGTGCCAGGTCTCCATGACGAAGTCAGAACCGCAGGGCACATACGGGTCCCCTTTAGGGGCCCGGTGAGCTACGCCGGGAATGCCCAGCTGGGGCAGGGGGTGGGTAGGTTCCCGCGCCCACAGTACAAGGAGCCCAGCATCCCCTATGTGCCGAGCCTTTCAGAGCTGCCCAACCATGCTGGACAGGGGGTGTCGTCCATGCCCGGGGTCTCCGTTGACAATGCTGTTGGAGGGGGAGCGGGAACAGGAGATGTGCCCATGCCAGGCTCTTCCAATCCCATGCTGCCCAACAGCCCTTAGTCCACAGGGCATGAGGAGCGAGCTGGTGAGGGTTAGCAGCTAAGGCAGGAAGAGGGCAGAATGCCTGGGTTCTGTCCCCAGCTCTGGGGGGTATGGTTTAGGTGTGAGAGCAAGGGAATGGGACTCAGGACTCCTGGGTACTATCCCAAGCTGCAGGAGAAGAGTGGGGTCTAGTGGTTAGAGTGGGAGGCAGGTCAGGACTCCTGGGTTCTATCCCAAGCTCTTGTCGGGGAGTGGGGGTCTAGTCATTGGAGCAAGACAATGGGGGCTTCTATCCCAGCTTTGGGAGGAATGGGGTCTAGTGGTTAGAGCAGGGTGGGAATGGGGATCAGGACTCCTGGGTTCTGTCCTGGTTCTGTGAGTAGGGGCTAGTGGTTAGAGAGGGAGGGGAAATGGGGGCCAGGACTCCTGGGTTCAATCCCGCTCTATGAGGGGAGTGGGGTCTAGTAGTTAGAGCAGGGGGGCCTGGGAGTCTGTACTCCTGGGTTCTATCTCCCACTCTCCTGTCATCTTACGACATGCCCCTGACTGGGCCACTCCATCGCTTTGTGCCTCAGTTTCCCCATTGTGTTCCAAAACCTTTTGCTCAGCGCTTAGCTGTGGATGGGGGTCAGCGCTTATAGCCCTCCCTGTGTAAATTCCCCACCCCCATCCCCATTTCCCTGATCTCCCCCCACCCAGCCTGGATCGCTTCACCCCTCCCCCCCAACCACTTCTCCTTCCCATATGGTCTGTGATCTCAGGGCCTTTGTATTGCTGGGATGCCTGGATGGGGGTGGGGAGGACGGCTGCGTCTCTCTCTGCTCCTCACTTCTGGTGCTGTAAATGCTTCCAATAAAATCCGTTCTCTGTAAGGTCATTTCGCTTAATTCCTCCCTTCAGAGCGAGTTCGGGGCAGGAGCCAGGCAGTGTTGGGAGCTCAGAGCAGGGACTGGACGGCCAGCAGCAGTGCACACTCCCCCTGCCCTCGCTTCCAAGCATTGCCTGCTCGGGGCAGAGAGGCGCTCGGTCGCCGGGGCCCATCCATGACGCTTGACGGACGCTGCCAGCAGGTCCCTTCTGATGTGAGCATCTGCAAGGAACAGCGCTGAGAAGCCACTCACTTGTTTCACCTATGGGGGTGAAAACCAGATTGGAACTGGCGTCCCCTAGAGGGGAAAGGCTCCGTGTTCCAGTCCCTGGCCCCCTGAGCCATCCAGTCCCCCACCCTGGGGCCAGATTGGAGCCAGTGCCCCCTAGAGGGGAAAGGCCTGTGCCCCATTCCCCCCCTCCCTGAGCCATCCAGTCCCCCACCCTGGGGCCAGATTGGAGCCAGCGCCCCCTAGAGGAGAAAGGCCCCCTGTCCTAGTCCCATGAGCCAGCCGCTCCCTCCACTCTGGGGCTGGACTGGAGTCGCTGCCCCTTCTCCTCTCCAGGTGAGATTATAGGCAGCGTTGGCACCAAGATGTAACACAGTTGCAAAAAAAGCAAACATCATTCTGGGATGTATATTAGCAGGTGTGTTGCAAGCAAGACACAAGCCGTAATTCTTCCCCTCTACACCATGCAAATTAAGCCGCAACTGGAGTATTGTGTCCAATTCTGGCAATACCGGAAAGATGTGGCCAAATTGGAGAAAATCCAGAGAAGAGCAACAAAAATGATGAAAGGTCTAGAAAACATGACCTATGAGGGAAGATTGAAAACATTGGGTTTGTTTAGTCTGGAGAAAGGAAGACTGAGAGG